GTCGCGAAATTAGGGGCAATACTTAGAAAGGGCCTCTTTGGGGCCCTCTTTGGGCCCCTTCCTTTGGATTCCCCGGTAGGTTTCTTCAGCCAGATTGAAGAGGGGGCCCAGGAGAGTGTCTGCTGCAAATTTTGAAGAAAATCGTAGGGGCCGCCCCATTGGGCCCCAAATTTCAATTGGGTCCCGTGGGCCCCAGGTGGGCCCCATCGAAAAATGTTACTTGGGTTTTTTGTTTGGGAAATTACGCTCTTTCCAATGATGTGCATATTGCCGGGGTTGGTCGCGAAATTAGGGGCAATACTTAGAAAGGGCCTCTTTGGGGCCCTCTTTGGGCCCCTTCCTTTGGATTCCCCGGTAGGTTTCTTCAGCCAGATTGAAGAGGGGGCCCAGGAGAGTGTCTGCGCAAATTTTGAAGAAAATCGTAGGGGCCGCCCCATTGGGCCCCAAATTTCAATTGGGTCCCGTGGGCCCCAGGTGGGCCCCATCGAAAAATGTTACTTGGGTTTTTTGTTTGGGAAATTACGCTCTTTCCAATGATGTGCATATTGCCGGGGTTGGTCGCGAAATTAGGGGCAATACTTAGAAAGGGCCTCTTTGGGGCCCTCTTTGGGCCCCTTCCTTTGGATTCCCCGGTAGGTTTCTTCAGCCAGATTGAAGAGGGGGCCCAGGAGAGTGTCTGTGCAAATTTTGAAGAAAATCGTAGGGGCCGCCCCATTGGGCCCCAAATTTCAATTGGGTCCCGTGGGCCCCAGGTGGGCCCCATCGAAAAATGTTACTTGGGTTTTTTGTTTGGGAAATTACGCTCTTTCCAATGATGTGCATATTGCTGGGGTTGGTCGCGAAATTAGGGGCAATACTTAGAAAGGGCCTCTTTGGGGCCCTCTTTGGGCCCCTTCCTTTGGATTCCCCGGTAGGTTTCTTCAGCCAGATTGAAGAGGGGGCCCAGGAGAGTGTCTGTGCAAATTTTGAAGAAAATCGTAGGGGCCGCCCCATTGGGCCCCAAATTTCAATTGGGTCCCGTGGGCCCCAGGTGGGCCCCATCGAAAAATGTTACTTAGGTTTTTTGTTTGGGAAATTACGCTCTTTCCAATGATGTGCATATTGCCGGGGTTGGTCGCGAAATTAGGGGCAATACTTAGAAAGGGCCTCTTTGGGGCCCTCTTTGGGCCACTCCCTTTGGATTCCCCGGTAGGTTTCTTCAGCCAGATTGAAGAGGGGGCCCAGGAGAGTGTCTGTGCAAATTTTGAAGAAAATCGTAGGGGCCGCCCCATTGGGCCCCAAATTTCAATTGGGTCCCGTGGGCCCCAGGTGGGCCCCATCGAAAAATGTTACTTGGGTTTTTTGTTTGGGAAATTACGCTCTTTCCAATGATGTGCATATTGCCGGGGTTGGTCGCGAAATTAGAGGCAATACTTAGAAAGGGCCTCTTTGGGGCCCTCTTTGGGCCCCTTCCTTTGGATTCCCCGGTAGTTTTCTTCAGCCAGATTGAAGAGGGGGCCCAGGAGAGTGTCTGTGCAAATTTTGAAGAAAATCGTAGGGGCCGCCCCATTGGGCCCCAAATTTCAATTGGGTCCCGTGGGCCCCAGGTGGGCCCCATCGAAAAATGTTACTTGGGTTTTTTGTTTGGGAAATTACGCTCTTTCCAATGATGTGCATATTGCCGGGGTTGGTCGCGAAATTAGGGGCAATACTTAGAAAGGGCCTCTTTGGGGCCCTCTTTGGGCCCCTTCCTTTGGATTCCCCGGTAGGTTTCTTCAGCCAGATTAAAGAGGGGGCCCAGGAGAGTGTCTGTGCAAATTTTGAAGAAAATCGTAGGGGCCGCCCCATTGGGCCCCAAATTTCAATTGGGTCCCGTGGGCCCCAGGTGGGCCCCATCGAAAAATGTTACTTGGGTTTTTTGTTTGGGAAATTACGCTCTTTCCAATGATGTGCATATTGCCGGGGTTGGTCGCGAAATTAGGGGCAATACTTAGAAAGGGCCTCTTTGGGGCCCTCTTTGGGCCCCTTCCTTTGGATTCCCCGGTAGGTTTCTTCAGCCAGATTGAAGAGGGGGCCCAGGAGAGTGTCTGCGCAAATTTTGAAGAAAATCGTAGGGGCCGCCCCATTGGGCCCCAAATTTCAATTGGGTCCCGTGGGCCCCAGGTGGGCCCCATCGAAAAATGTTACTTGGGTTTTTTGTTTGGGAAATTACGCTCTTTCCAATGATGTGCATATTGCTGGATTTTGTCGATGTTATAGGCCTGAAATTGTTGCAAACGTTTATTTATGCCCCGAGGGCATACTCCCGGGCCCATATATTTGAAGCTGTTTTGTTCGGTTCAGGGGGGCGCTAGCCCCCTAAATTTGGTACCGTTGCACGTAAAATTTTGTCCTCTTTCGAATGACGTGCATTTTTAGCTGTTTTGACGGCTAGAAGTAGGGTTTTCAAAGTTCGTCGATTGTGCCCTGAGGGCATACTGTTTTTTGGGATTTGTGGCCCCCCTGATGGATTCCCCGCATTTTGGCACTAGGATTTTCGATAGAGGACACCATTCTGCACCTCTCCACCAAATTTCAGCGAAATCGTAGGGGCCGTCGATCCCTGCTGAATCCCTGCTGAACCCCTGCTGAATCCCTGCTAACTTCCGTTACATAGTTATTAGGGATTCAAAGGTAACTTTTGTTGCAGCTGGGTTATTTTGGCACCGAAATTGAGGCACTTAAAAATATAATCGCTTTATTCTGCGTATTCTTAGAAACTGAGGGAAAAGGAAGAGATGAATTGTAATGAACCCACCCTTCGGTTAGGTAAATGTAAACTTGGCTTCACTGAAGTTTTGTGCTGATATATTTTACATTCTGTTATTTCAGCTTTCGCGGTTCCATGCAAAATATTTGCTTCTTTGGTGAGCAAAGTAGGTGAGGTACTTTGGGTGGGCTATTCACTGATCTTGCAAAGAACTGAGGCGATTTTCAGTATTATTAACAAATTGCTGGCTGTTTTCTTAGGCACTAGCAGATAGGTCTTGAGCCTAATAATAAATATTTTTACATCACCAGCAGCAGTTTTTCTCTTTCGGCGCTTGTCGGGGACGGTCGTGCTTATCGAGCTCCTGCCTTACCCAGCCTTACCCTCCTCACCGCAAGAGGGCGCCACCGCTGTGCAACCTTTTCTTGTCCGTTTTTGATCCAGTACGTACTTCGTTCTCATAAAAAATTATTTTCTTGGTGACTATAAGTTGCCTTGATGGCACTGCAACACACACCTCTTCCAAAGAGAAGAGGCAAAAACATCCACGCAGGGTCGCTGGCGTCGGCGGCGTCGGCTGCGCCCAACACCTCACCCGCGCCACCCACTGTTGATGATTTGAACACCACCAGCTCTGCTGCAACGTCTTCTATGGAATTTCTGGACAAAATCGACAAAACTGCCCTAGATGTTGGAAAAGCTGTGGACGAGAGTGGTTGTGATACAGTAAGCGAAGCTGGAGACAAATCGGTGAGTTCAGGGGACCAAGCAGGGAGGAATATCAAACGATTGGATAGCGATGTGTACAAACTGTGGGGGTCTCGCTCCAGGTCAAACAGCAACTCGGGTAGTGAAGACGAAGACATCATCTGCAAAGGAGGCCCAGGTAAAATGGTTTGTGATGCGCAGGTCAAAGAAGGGGAGCTCGGCGTAAGATGTGACACATGCTTCCGATGGTATCACTCTGAGTGTCAATCTATTTCAAAGGGTGCCTACACTGCACTGCAAAGACACAAAATCTTGTCCTGGATCTGCTCAACATGCAAAGCATCCCGTTCAAACCACAAACATAAGGACGAGCAGTTTTCTAGACAGCTTGCGGATCTAGACACAAAGATCATCCAACTGGATAGTGCGATGAATGTTAAACTGGAAAAAATTCAGCAGGCCCTGTCTGAGCAAGTCAAAGTTGTCAGTGGCCAGTCAAAACAATTTGATCAGGTCAAACAAGCAGTTGAGCACCAAAAGGTCTCATATGCCCAGGCAGTCAAAGGCACCTGCAATGACATGATCAAGGAAGTCACAGCCAAGATAGAGGCCCTGCCCCAGCAGTCTTTTCCCAAACAGGGGGTCAACACCGCAGAAGAAATATCCGGTGTCTTTGACAATTTCCTTGACAAGGAAAAGAGGAAAATGAATGTAGTTGTGCATAACCTGGATGAGAGCCAAGGTGAGAACCACAGTGAAGTAGCCAGACAGGACATTCTGAAGTTCCAGGAAATGATCAAAGCAGGACTCAGGATCAATGTCCAAGTCACAAAGGCATTCAGGGTCGGAAAGAGGTCTGAAAGCAAACCCCGGCTTCTCATTGTCAGCCTAGATAGTCTGGAGGCCAAGGTAGATATTCTCAAGCTGGCACGCCAACTGAGGCAATCTGCATTTAGTAACATCTACATCACCCCTGACCTTACTTGGAGAGAGAGGGAGGAAGGGAAGCGCCTTCGTGAGGAGCTGTTCCGACGGCGAGAGGCTGGTGAGAACAACGTAGCTATCCGAAGAGGCAAAATCATCCAGCTTCCCTCTAGGCACGATGACCCTGCTCCTGCCCTGAGACCAAGAGACCCAGGAGCCGCAGCCCAGTCTGCATCAGCCAACCAACCAGGAAATCAGAACCGCCCGCACTCCCCTGGAGCCGGGGTAGGTACAACTACAGATGAAAAGTGACTATCTCAAGATGGACAAAAGAAAAGGAAAGTCCGCCAAAGCTTGAAGGTTTTATACACAAACTCTGATCAATTTCTCAACAAGAGAGATGACCTAAGTATGTTCATTGCTGACAAGAGCCCGGATCTGATTCTGTTGACAGAGGTCATACCTAAGGCACAATCAAAACCAATCCCTGAAGCACTTTTGGCACTCAGTGATTACTCTATGTACTGCAACTTCAACCCTCAAGACAGCAGCCTGGGCAGCAGCGGCATGAGAGGGATATGTATATATGTCCACAAAAGCCTTCAGGCAACTGAGATAAATTTTGGTCATATCCCCTTCAGCGAGCAGTTGTGGATTGACCTGGCTCTGTCCGCACCAGACAAGTTGCTCATTGGCTGCTTGTACCGCAGTCCCTCAGGTGATGCAACAGCTTCTGTGCAAATGCTTGATCACCTCATCCACCATGTGACATCACTGAACTACTCTCACATACTGCTTGCTGGCGATTTCAACCTGCCTCAAATCAACTGGGAAATGGGTATCTCATCAGCACCACCCAACCACATCTCTCATGCTTTTGTTGAAGTTATTCAGGACTGTTTTCTTCATCAGCACGTCTCAGAACCCACCCGCTTTAGAATTGGCGAGGTGCCTAGCACTCTTGATCTGATCTTTTCAAACGAAGAAGGGATGGTTCAAAATGTCACGTACCACCACGGCCTTGGCCGCAGTGACCATGCCATGATCTCATTCGATCTTGAATGCTATGCTGTTAGAATCGTGTCAGGATCAAATCGTCTTAACCTCCACCAAATCGACTTCAGTCTTCTGAATCACCAGATTAGAAATGCCAACTGGGACATTGGACAGGACAAGCCTCTTGAGGAGCAGTACAACCACTGGAAGAGTCTGCTCATGAACCTCATCAGCAAGTGTGTCCCTCGTGTCTCACGGAGAATAGTGAAGAAAAACATTTACATGACCAAAGAGGCACTCAAGCTGAAGAAGAAGAAAAGATCTTTGTGGCTTCAATATCTGCACACCAAAGACCCCATAGATCATGCCCGTTTTGTTCGAGTCAGAAACGACCTCAGACGGATGACCAGAAACTTGAGATTTGACTTTGAAACCAGACTGGCGCGTGACATAAAAATGAACCCCAAGCACTTTTGGAGATACGTCCACTCTCGAACCAAGACCAGGTCCAAGGTTGAGCACCTGCTGCATGCGGACGGCTCCCTCGCCACTGAAGACAGGGACAAAGCAGCTGTTCTTAACCAGTACTTTTCCAGCGTTTTCTCTGTCGAAGACTCCACTATGCCTCCATTCCATGCGAGGTACTCTGGTCCCGAACTCGAGCCTGTAAGTATCACCCCAGAGGCAGTCATCAACAAGCTTCAGGGTCTCAAGCCTGCCAGCTCCCCGGGCCCCGACGGCATCCACCCACGAATCCTCTCTGAGACTGCCGAGTCTATTGCCCCTTCTCTGGCACGGCTGTTCAACATGTCCTTAGCGTCAGGTGAGGTTCCATCCGAATGGAAGCTGGGCGAAGTTGTCCCGATATACAAGAAGGGGAACAAACAGCTGCCGACAAATTACAGGCCCGTCAGTTTGACTGCTGTTCCATGCAAAATACTGGAGTCCATCATTCGGGACCTCATTATGAACCATATGGTCTCTACTGGCCAGCTCCACAACGCTCAGCATGGTTTCCGTCCAAAAAGATCGTGCGCAACTCAGCTGCTAGCTACTCTAGAGGACTGGAGCAGGGCGATCGAGAGGGGCGAGACAGTGGACGCTATCTATTTGGACTTTTCTAAGGCATTCGACACTGTGCCCCACCAGAGACTCCTCCACAAACTCAGGGCATATGGGATCGGTGGACACCTGCTCAGATGGATAACAAGTTTCCTGTGCAATAGAAAACAACGAGTTGTCCTGAACGGTTCATCTTCTGACTGGGCCACAGTCAGTAGCGGCGTTCCTCAGGGCTCGGTCCTGGGACCCCTTCTGTTCGTCCTATTCGTCAACGATCTTCCAGGCCTTATGCAAGGCGGGATACAGATGTTCGCGGACGACACGAAGATTTACCGCCCTGTTCAGAACCCCTCTGATGCGGCTCTGCTCCAGGCGGATATCTCCACGGCTGTCGACTGGTCCAGCAAGTGGTGCCTCAGTTTCAACTCCCAAAAGTGCAAGGTTATCCACGTTGGAAAGCGCATTCCATATGAGTCATATGCCATTGGAGACTACCAGCTTGCTGAGGTTGAAGTTGAGCGTGATCTAGGCGTCCAAATCGATCAGGACCTCAAGTTTCGTGAACAAGCCGCTGCAGCGGTATCCAGAGCCTCCCAGATGCTCGCGGTGATTCACAAGTCCTTCGAACGCATCGACGCCACCACGCTACCGCTTCTGTATAAGACCCTGGTACGACCGCACCTCGAGTACTGCAACATCGTATGGGGCCCCTTCAATCGCGCTGACCAGCAAAAGGTGGAGCGTGTCCAGAGACGAGCAACGAAGATGATCCCATCACTTAGGAGCCTACCATATGACCAACGACTACGCTCGCTGAAACTCCCGTCACTCTATTATCGAAGGCGCCGCGGCGACATGATTATGACGTACCAACTTTTTCATGGGGGTGTTGACCTCGATCCTGAGTCATTCTTTGAGTTGGCTGACTCTACTACAAGAGGACACCCCTGGAAGCTGTTGAAGCCGAGAGCGTCTTCCCGATCGAGGCGAAACGCGTACAGCGTCCGGGTCGTCAATGACTGGAATGCTCTTCCTGCTTATGTGGTGGAAGCGCGATCCCTGAACGAATTCAAGTCCAGGCTCGACCGCCACTGGTCTCACCTCCTCTACACCATCCACTCCAATGACTGAGGCAGTGATATCGTCATGGAGCTCGATAAGTCAGAGTCCCACAGGCCTAAGGGCCTTCAAAATTCTCGTACATCGTAAGTAAGTAAGTAAGTAAGCAGTTATATGTCATGCAGGTCATGAAGGTTTTGAGCTATTCGAAGCCAGTCTGCTAAGTATGACAGTCTCGACGAGATCTTGTCCGTGCCGGCTTGTTCGGCGGGTGCGGATTTGGACTGGTGCAGTGCGGATTTGGTAAAGTGTGGACGGTGCGCAATTGGCCTAGTGACTGACATGACAGACCAGATGGGGTAGATGAAGAATATTGAAAAAACATTGTTGGATTGGAGCTTCGACGTCACACAATTCAGTGTGCTCTCGGCCCTCGAGTCTAAATAAGTGTGCGGTGGTCAGAATGGACTGCCAGTGCTGGTAGTCCAATCAATTTGAATTACGTGGGTCGCCCGCAAGTTTGCACTCTGCACTGTTACAACACAAAACAGACCAGGGGCGGATCCAGCATTTTGCCAAGGGAGGGGCTATTCCGAATCGGGGGCCCCCCATCGATGGGGGCCCTACCTACCCCCAAAAGTTTAAGCCTGGATTTCGTCCACTTTATTTTTGGGGGCCCCCTATCATGCTTTTTTTGCAAAAAAAAAAAGAAAATGAGAAAGTTGCCCGGGGGGGCGCTATAGTCCCTATCGCCCCCCTGGATCCGCCCCTGCTAGGAGGCCTTGTATGTGAACTAGGAAGCCCTCTGTGATAGCTAGGAGGCCCTCTGTGCAGATGCGAGCGCAGGCCCTCAGTACAGACTTGGAGACCCTTTGTGTGGATGCGAGTGGAGGCCCTCTGTGGAGATTAAGAGGTCCTGTGTTGGCGAAGAGGATATCTGTGCAGGCTTGGAGTCCCTCTGTGCAGGATAGGAGACCTTCTGTGTGAGTTAGGAGGCCCTCTGTGTTGGCTAGGAGGCCCTTTGTTCGGATGCGAGTGGAGGCCTCTGTGTAGGCTAAGAGATTTTGTGTTTGTTAGGACATCTGTGCAGGCTTGGAGGCCCTCTATGCAGGTTAGGAGGCCCTGTAAAAGTGGTCATCTCTGTGAGTATAAGAGACCTCCAAGTTATGAAAAGCTTTACCAATCTTCTAACAAAGAAGTCTTCTCAGCTAGTCTTCTAAGAAATAACTAAGTGGGTAGGTTAAAAAAAACTCATCGGATTTCGGCCACTTTATTTTCAGGAGGCCCCCTTTTCAGCTTTTTAACTTTTTATTTTATTTTTGAAAAAAATCGGCCAAGGGGGGGGCCATGGCCCCCATGGCCCCCCCCCCCTTGTATCCGCGCCTGAAACAGACCGCTTGGCTCTGTGTCCTGTGAAGTGTGAGGCGCCGGCGGTAGAGTGAGAGAGATGAGCATGGCCGATGAGATGAGAGGGATTTAATATTTGTACGGCCGATGGGAGGGCCATAAAATCACCGTGGGAGGGCCATAAAGTCACCGCTTGGCCGCTTCAAGCAGTCAAATGCCAACAATTCACAATTCATCGGTAAACAATTATTCGTACATGCGACGCAGCCAATAGGTTGCGTTGAAACAAGCTGAGTTCGTTACATTCTGCACTGCAGCTTTGGTAAACGAGATGCGCTTGGCTCATAAGAGGGTTTGGCGTTGTCGTTCGATGGTACGCAGGGCCTAGGCCATATAAGTAGGGCCAGATGCGCATGGCTGATGGCAGGCCTTAAGGACCACCACTTTGCTGCGGCTTAGTCAAATCCCGATCTGCTGTGAATGACTTGCCCATCAGATTTGTTGTTCGATACAGCTAATGACCTAACGAGAAATGCCGAAAATGCATGCATGTGATGGGCCCACTTTTGCCATTCATATGTCTATTTTTGTAACTGGGGCCTTCACAAGTCGTCAAGCCGTTTAGCTAAACAAATGGCAGTGTCGACTGTCGACACCATTAGGGTAACCATGGTACATGGCACAATAATCACCTTGGAAGAATCGCCAGGAACAGTTACTAGATAGGGTTCTTGTATTGGCGTGACGTGCTTTCTGTTCTAGTCTTGCAGTGCGTATTTCTCGTTTCGTTTCCATACTACTGAGACGGCACTGGCAGAGTTGTGGCTCATATCAATAATTTGAATTTAGGTCAGTGTGGTTTTTAACTGGCCACTTTTGGCGGGTTCAGTGCGATTTTCCGGAATTTCAGCTGCTTTGGTGCGGATTTTCCGGCTCTTTTTGAAGCGTTGCGGATTTTGAACTTCAAACTTGTGCCGGTGCGCCTCGTTAACCTGTGGCCATAATGTGCAGACTGGACTCAAAGATGATAATATCTGACAATTTCTCTGTTTGATATAACTGGCCTTTGTTCAGTTGCTGTTTTATCAGCATATTGTCTGTAGTCCTGAATTCCTGATACGTTTTTTTTTTTTTTACTTGATGACATTACTTGACTTTTCATGCCTAGCGTTACATGTAGATTGCACAAATGATGAGCCAAAAAATTCAAGTGAGTTAGCAGTCTGTGGATCAAAATGGTGATGGAGTAGGTAACCAAATCGTCAATTTAAAAACTTTATTGCTTCACATGTCTAATGAGATCCACATGAGCCTGATCTATCACCATGCCAACTCTAAATGATTTATTTCAGGAGGAGCAAGAAAGCTGAAACCATGACGGGTTTCGGACTGTCGCTTGTTGCGACTTTCGACGACCTCTGTCGGCACACAAAGGTCATGACAGAGGGCACTGAATCAAGTAAGTTATGTGAAAATAGAGCTAGATCACATCCACTTATTCGCATGGATGATTGAGTGTGAAGTGAATGTCATTAGCCCACTTGACAGGGCTCTAGCTATTTTGTAGCTGTAGTCAACTGTCAAGTTTTAAACAAATGCTTATTCATGTCCCAGGGATCTACACAAATTATGGAGCACACATCATGCACACTCATTCCATGGCTGTCCATATGTGTTGTTACACTTGCCACAAACTCGGCATGGTTATAGGTGGTGCATTAACTTGGTGGATATTTGGAGAGCTCTTTTTGTAAATTTAGCTCGAATGTTTGAGTGGACGGATTGATACACCCGAAGCCCACGCTGTGCACGTCTTGTTGCGTATACCCCGACGCCTACCGTCCTTTCGCGCAATTCCGGGTGACGGGAGAATTTAGATGCCAAAGTTCAAAATGCCCTTCAAAGTCGGACACTGCCTGTCCCACTCAGCTGACTTCAGCTGGCGCTCCCTTCAACCGCAGGCCATCCTTGCCAGGAGTCTCAAATATCGAACGCCGGAGCGAATCGAACCGGGGATCTCACTGCCGGGAGTCGAAGGCTCTACCAACTGAGCTACAGAGCATGCTTTTAGTTATCTTTTAGTTTCATTTCTGGCGTCTTATCTTTTAGCACCGACTCATCCGCACACCTCCCACGTTGCAAAGCCCGCTTGTAGCGACCAACCCTCACCTCTGACCTTGCGTCTCCATCCCGTGCTCAGAGTTTCTCGAGTTTGTCAACATGATCGAGGCGTTTCGGCTTCGCTGGGTGAACTCGGAGGCTGAGTGTCAGCGCCTGCACGCCCAGCTGGTACAGGCCAATACGGAGATCACACGGCTGGAGAACAACGTCAAACAGGTGAGCGTGAGCCGCCGGCCGGCTACCCGGTTTATAACGTGAAACAGGTGAGCGCGGGCCGCTGGCCGGCTGGCTATCCGGCTGGAGGCGTGCCGACGGCCGGCAGACTCGGAGTGAATGAGTGCTGCCGAAACGTCCGAAGATGGTCACGCCGGGCGTTTCGTTGTTGGCGGGTCGCGGAATTGTGGACATGGGAATCAGCCGGTTGGTTCTGGTAATAAAGGTGTATTTTTATTTGGTATGCTGGAGCAATGATGTGGGAGATAAGTAAGGGGCAAGATTTAGAACATGTGTTACGTTATAAAGTGTCCGTGTCCAAGCTCATCTATCCGCGTTGAACTAGATATTTGATCGAGGAACGCATTGTGTTGAACAGAGTTCGCAATGTGCGTGAAGCCTTTCCCCCTTTGAGGAGCTTCACTCCGTTGTTTCTGCCAGCCTCCACTCGGGCTTCTTTTTTTAGAGACAACGCATGCATGCTGCGCTAATTGTCCTCATTGAGCCTGTGACGGGTACACTTACTCGTTTACTCTGGTGTTTATTTGCTTTACAGCTGTTTTTGCTAAGTACCTAATCGCTATATTATCTCCTCATTCCAGGCCAAGAATCTACTAGACAATGAGAAGAAACGTCGCTTTCTGGTGGAACAGGACCGTGAGGCTTACGTGAGTGATTGTTATTTGTCGATAGAAATGTCTAGAGTAGTTTTGACGAAGCTTTCACGAATTTGTAAGCTGCCAAGTCCCCTCTCAGCCCCTCCCCCCCCCACACACACACATACACCTATCGTACTGTCCCCCACTGACCACTGCCCCTCCCTCTCCCCTCCACACAGGAGCGCCAGCTAAACCTGATCCGCGAGCTCATGTTTAACGAGCCGCACGCGGTCAACAATGAGACGCGCGAGAAGATGCTGCAGCTGAGTCAGTCGGTGGCGGCGGCGCGGCCGCGCGAGCGGCGCTCCTCGAACCGGCTGGGCACCATCAGCGAGAGCGTCGGTTAGTTGACGACGGGAGGAGCGGGCAGACGGTGCTTGGGGTTTGGGGCGCAAGCTGAACTGAACGCATAACCATGTGAGATCCGAAGTAAACGTGAAATTATTTGATCTATAGTTGACATTTTAACAATTGCGTTTATGACGCAAAGCTCGCATACCTATCCTGTTTTTAGCGTACTTTTGCTAGATAGTTGTAGAAAAGATGAAACAACACGGATTCAGACCAGAAAGTCGGTCAACAAGACGACTACACGCCCACATGCGACTGTATCAGTGTCCCACTTTCGTATCTGCCCAAGGGTCATCTCTCAACCGTTTCTACTGCGTCCTCTGCCGTCGCCTACCTATAACTCCCGACCCTGCCACCAGGATCGCTGCTGTCTGCCGACGACCTGTCTCTGGATTACACCGAGGAAGATCTGGACGTGTCGCACCTGCGCTCCGGACGCGTCATCCAGCGCTCTCGCGGACAGAAGCGCACCTCGGACGTTGATACTGAGGAGGATGACGGCACGGGAGCCACACGGGCGCGACGCCGCACCAGGAAGGCCAAGGTGAGAGCTCGGAGCGTCTTTAGCAATGTCGTTTTCGGCATTTTGGCCAAGATCAGAGAGTAAACTGGACTTTGGAATGCTAATTTGTCGTTTTAGGAATTCATGAGATGAAGGATTGCTTTGCTATTTTATTGACCGAGTCTCAGCATGTGTGTTGCTTTTTGGATGTTCATGAGGAGGGCCGCATTGACGCTGTTTTCGTAAAAGATTAGGCACACGATTGCCGATGGCTCTCACCGGGGACTCCTTATGTAGGCTATCCGCTTCTTTCCCGCTTATTCGCCCGTCGGTTCCCTGACCTCCCTCCCCCGCCCCCTTCCAGCGCCGCAACAGGCAGGCGTCACCGTCGCCAGCCCCGGCCGCCGCCGCGCCCGACACGGGCTCAAGCTCGGACCAGGCGGCGACGATTGCGGCGCGCGGCGAGGCGCTGGTAGCCACCACCACTGTGACGGTACCGCTGTCGGGCGCCGTCACTGCCACCAGCCAGCTGCGCGCCCGCTCCCCGTCGCCGGCGCAGCGCCGCAGCCGCAGCAGCGCCGGCGGCGCGCACAAGTCCCTGGAGCGGTCGTACAGCGAGCCGCCGCCCCTGCAGCGCACGCCGGCCCCGGCCAACCCGACCCTGGTCCGCACGCCCTCCAGTGAGTGTTAGGGATAGAGAGAGGAGAGAGTAATCTAGGAATTGAGAGGGGAGGCAGGGTCAAACGCAGAATTAGACGCAGGAGAATGAGATCTTATTTGTTTTAAGTAGTCCAATGTGACTATAATAATACAATGCAATTGTGACGCACTGGTATGAAAACCCGTTGCACGTTTTTGTATGCTAACTTATAAGCCAATTAAATATGAATTAGCTGTTTGCCTCAGTCTGAGCGTCACCCCGCCTGGCCAGACTGACTCTCCTCAGCTCTGTGGCGCACTGTGCGATATCCGCGCCCTGACTGACCGCCCCACCCTGTCCCCGCCGTCCGCCAGCGATCTCCCAGCCGTGGTGGCGCTCCAACCTGGCCCGTCTGCACACGGACATGTCTCCGTCCTTCACTGGTACACGACCGTTCTTTGTCCCCCGCCGTGTCAGAACTCAGAACCATCCGTGTCGCACCAGTGCTCTGTCCGCGTAGGCCATGTGCGCTTGCCATCGCCGCACTCTGTCCCTATCTCAACCTCCCTGTGTCGTTTGCTGTCCGGCCTACTCTGTTTCGTAGCAGACGCTGCTCAAAATGTCTTTACTTGCTGCTTCTGCGGTCAGTGAAACGGGAGTTTAATTTTTTACATTAGTAGGCAGCTCAGCTAGCAGTTTCTCCCCCCCCCTCCCCCCACGTAATCACTTGTCTATAACCGCTTATCCTCCTTTGGGAGGAGCTTGGCTTTGTGTATCTTTTGTCCGCTTTTTTCGTCTTTTAGTTTGTCTTAATGCCACCAATCTCATAGATATAGCTGCGTTATCAGGATTAGCACTTCTTATTCTACTCTCTTATCTCTTGCTAGCTATGTTTATGTTTTATCTTGAAGAAACAATCGTCGCTGTCTACTTTTTAATACGATGCCGGGCATTTTCATCCAATGTGTTTGCGAAGTCCTTTGAAGAGGGAATCATAACCATGATCAACGCTCTTTGCTATCGATTGCCAGACGTAGTTATTCACATCATCATCATCATTATCCTCATCACAATCACCATCATCGTCAGCATCATTGCCGCCTATCTCGCCTGACGCTTGCTACCCCGCCACAGACGGTCTGGGCGGCAGTGCCTGGGACATGGGACGTACGCCGGGCGGTACGGCCCAGCGCAACCCGTACCGCACGCCCGAGACTCCGTTCTCCCCCGGTCTCAGGCACTTCAACTCGGCCGGAAAGGGTGAGTAGAGGGACGGTGCTGAGCCACCGACTGAAACTGGTACGGTGTTACGGGGCGATAGTCATGTAAGAATATTAATGAAGAATATTGATTACGCCAGTGAAACCGGTTACCTAGTGGTTATGATATGCTGTACGTTCAATTCGCACTGTACAGCGTTTATCGTTTTTATCTTAGTACCTATATTGAAAGCATTGCCTCATTATGAAAATGTTAGGTATTCGTTTTCATCTCTCTAAGACCTCAGCTGATGTCTCTCTAGTTTACCTCCCTGCTGTCTCAGCGAGTGGTTGACAACCCCTCCCCGGTTTAACCGCGCAGGGCTGGGTGGACCATGTCACACGTTCTACGAGAAGACCGTCATCAAACCCGAGTCGTGTCAGCCATGCGGCAAGCGTGTGCGTTTCGGCAAGACGGCGCTGCGGTGCCGCGAGTGCCGCGCAGTGTGCCACCCTCAGTGCCGCGACCAGGTGCCGGTACCGTGTGTGCCGTCGGCCCTGACGCCGACCTCGCGCGGACACCAGGCCGGACAGCTGGCCGACTTCACTCCGCTGCGCGGCCTCATGGTGCCCGGACTGGTGCAGCACTGCATCAACGAGGTGGAGCAGCGGGGCATGAACGAGGTCGGCATCTACAGAGTGCCAGGAGCGGAGCGCGATGTCAAGGAGCTGAAGGTGAGGGACGGTGAAAGGGAGGGGAGGGGGTCAACTCCGCGGAGCTGCAGCAGTGTTTGTGCCGTGGCAGCTAAGATGAGATGGCGAGAGGTCTGTTATATTTCATGTTTGGTTTCTTGTGGTGCCCATTGGAGATTGGCGATTGACTTCGAATAATGTTCGATAGCCTTGGCGTTTCAGAAATGCCAATGCTGATTCACCGTAGACATCAGAAACAAATATTATTTGAGCTTATTAAGGATCACCGTCGCTCCGTCTCGCGTTGTCTTGCTTTGTAATCCCGTCTCTGACCCCACCCCACCCGTACCGTCGCCAACAGGCCCGGTTCCTGCGCGGCAAGGGCATCCCTCGGCTGGACCAGGCGGACATCCACGTCATCTGCGGCTGCATCAAGGACTTCCTGCGGATGCTGCAGGAGCCGGTGGTGACCCACACGCTGTGGCAGGACTTTGTGCGCGCGGCCACGTCGGATAACACGGCCGACCTGTACCAGGCCATCTCCGAGCTGCCGCAGCCCAACAGGGACACGCTGGCGTTCGTTATCCTGCACCTGCAGCGGTGAGTGGTTCGGTGGGAGGCCGGAGGGATGAGTATAGGATGGATAAGGGAGACACGGGGGGGGGGGACACGCTGCTTCATCAAGAATGAGCGTGGGGTGCAGCCTTCTATTTTTAATTACAGCTAAGTGCTGAGAATTGTGCAGCCTTGAGTAGTCTTGCAACCTTAAGTCTTCTCTGCTTGTTTGACAGAAATCGTTTCCGTTCGTAACAGTCCGTTCGTTGACGCAAGATTGTTATTCCATTGTGTCGAAAACCCAAAGCCATCATGATGAGGTCGTCCGTTTCTGTTCTGGACATGCAACGGTATGTGGAGGCTGCCCAGAGATTTTACCTGCTGACAATGTTTGTCCACATCACCGGGGGTTGTTGATTTCGTCTGATGCTGTCTTTCTTCCCTTCGCCAGTGTGGCTGAGGTGCCGGACAACAAGATGTCTGTCTCTAGTCTGGCCAAGGTGTACGGTCCCACCCTGGTGGGCTACTCGTCGTCTGACTTGGAGCCGGGAGCGCTGCTGACCGAGACGCGACAGCAGCAGACGGTCAGTTATGGTCTCGTGCCTCTCGTCCTTACGTTGATGTTGTTGGGTCGGGTCAATGATGGTTCAATGAGCTTTGGGAACGGTGTGCTAGAGCATTACGTTGATGGTGTAGTGTAAAGTTGCATGCCGCCTACAATAAAGTCATCTGTCTAACGTAATCGCTATGGAACCTCCTAGTTTCACTTTGCGTCTACCTCTATCTACCTATCCATCGATGACTTCCCTATAACTCCCTACCATTCTCCTCCTCAGGTGATGGAGAAGCTGCTGGGCCTGTCTGCCGACTACTGGACCAAGATTGTGGAGACCTCCTCTCAGGAGCAGTACCTGTACCCAGGCGGTGACGCTCAGGCCACCCCGCTGCGCTCGGGCGGCGTCCGCACGCGCACCGCCTCTCGGCACGGATCCTACCGCTGATCGCACGGCGCCTGAGCCTCTCAGAAACACGCGGAGAAGGGAGGGATAAGGATTGGTCAAGCCGAGGTGAGTCGGCCTAGCCGAGGCTTGGAATGAATGGATCGCTGGAATGCATTCCCTGCCACGCGGTTTGAGGCAGTGAGGCCTGCGGATGAGGCAAGAGTCCCGTGAATAAGGCAGGAAGCCTACGGATGAGACAGTGGGGTCCGCTAATGAGACAGTAAGGTAGTGGAATGCGGCGGGCGAGAGGGGACGTGTGGCTGGAAAGCCGGTATAGCGTATAGTGGAAAGTCGCGTGGATGAGTTGCTAGCTGCCGTCGGTGCGGGGTGGCCGTGGTACAGCAGCAGAAGTCGCGCTGAGGGGTCGTGCGCCGCCGCGGACGGCACACTAGGCGAACCAGTGTGAACGTGTGAGTGTGACGGGTGTTTTACCTAGTGGGACCAGTGATGCTGCGAGCTGCAGTTCGACGTACTGCGGCGAGCGATGAACTGTGGGCGCACCAGGGCAGTTTGAGCGATCGCACATTTAGACTAGATTGATCGGGCTCGGACTCGTGCTCCTTGCACTGCTGTGTGAATTGGGTCGTCCTTCACACAGTCCCAGTATTTACTCTCGATGGTGGTGGGCTACCGTTTTCATATCTCGGGTGAATCGTCAAATGTCTGGGCTATTCGATACTTCGTGCTGTGGGGACGAGTCGAACGTGGTCGATTGCGACTGTCATCAGGTGCTTGATGATTCTCGACCGATTTCGGAGATGCTACTCAAAATGTTCTCTTTTCATGCTCTCTATTTGTCTTAGTTCTAATAGTTGCTACTCATTTGTCACTGCCAGCTCCTGTAGATATCTCCGACTGAGTGTTTGATTCTAGCTTGTCTGGTTTTTAACTATCACCCGAGTAGGAGCTTATACTGAGGCCAAAACGTTTGGGGATTTCTAGGATACGTGGCGCGTTGTACTGACAGCGGGTCACTAGCTCGTTTTGGTGGTTCTGGTTCGTCATTGTGGGCTAAGTTTTGAGTAAGAAGCTTCACTGAATGCACAAGTATGGATTCTTCTCGCCGATTACAATGTCTGCTTAGCACAAAATCGTAGTATTGTTTTTTATTCAATGTGGAAAACAGTAGTTTGATAGGCACTCTTCCTTTCGCTATCTTTGTGATTGTCTCTAGTTTTATTTTGTATCGTGTTATTGTCAAAATAAAATGCAAATAACATGTCTCTTTGAACAAACCAAATGCCTGATCAGAACTGATTCTTGTTCACTGTTCAGTAGTTAAATTTGGACGGCTTTTGAAATTTGTTGTTCACTGTTCAGTGGTTAAATTTGGACGGCTTTTGAAATTTGTTGTTCACTGTTCAGTCGTTAAATTTGGACGGCTTTTAAAATTGTCCAAAAAAAGATGGTTTGCGCTCCAGGACATCGACTTCTGCTCTGTCCAGTCTTACGGCGCTACTCGCCTGAGCTGTCAGGAGAAAGACAGGAATAAGTGGTTCAGGAAAGTGGCATGTTCATGACCTTACCCGGCATCGTGCAGTCTCCATTTTCTCGAATGGTATATGACGTCAAATATACGTTCCTAGAACTATCTAATGTCATATCCATGTGCTCGATGCCTCTCGAGACGGGAATCTGAGCTAGTGAGCTATCGAATATAAACGCGCTCCCAGAAAGTTGTATTTTGGCACAGTCTGACGCAGCGCAAATATGTGCTTATTATTCAAACGAGACTGACTGGTATACAACTAAAGACATGGATGTAGTCCTTTGTAGCCGCAATTGCAATTTAACATCGTTCCCGTTTTAACGTTTTTTTTCTGATGATCATTGGCGATGGCACCACAGTTAACCCCAATATGTAGGCAGGTGCTGCCTGGAGATGTCTTAAGGAGCATCATCGGACCGCGAGCCCGAAAACGCTATCGATGGTGGCAGTATTACAGTCAAAGGCGGACACGTTCCACCTTTTGGCAGCAGACAACAAATGGCAGACGACACAGGGGACGGTGACAGCTCCCGTCTCGCCTGAATCACTTGGCACGGGCGCGGCAGCGGCAGCGGCTGGCCTCGCTCGGTCGCCCGCGCCGCCTATCGGCACGCCACCACACTACAATCTCTGGGTGCTGCCGCTGGGCGGCGCCGGGCCCGCCGTGACCCGGAGCGCCGCGCCGCCGCGCTGCGAGACCCCGGTCAGAGCTCAGTACGCCTTGGGGCCGTAGGCGCTCTGTACGCGCGTGGTGTACTCCTTGTGGTGCATGTCGTAGCCCCGGATGTTTGACCGCACGGTGTTGAGCAGTTCGCTGAGGTCGGCCTCCTGTTTGCTGTAGCGCGAGCTGGCGGACTTGTGAGCCCGCTCCGCCCACGACTCGGCGCGGGGCGCCGCGGCGCCGCCCACTGAAACGGCACAGGGCAGTACATGGTCATGCTGAAGCCTTTTCAGGAGTCTTAGATATAAAATCAGCAATGACTTAAAATTCGTCGAATGGGCACGCTGAAAATGCATATTTGGGTTTTTTTACTCAATGCTGCTTCAAGATTGGCACGCGATGTTTGGTGTCTGAGGTTATAGCATTATGTTGAGGTATGTTTTAAGTTGTTTATGATCCAGGAATTAAAAGTCGATCTATTTTAACCCTCTCCCGTATAGGGGGGAGGGGGGTCGAACGGACTCCCCCCCCTCGGTTTTTCGCGAATAACTCACGTAAAAAGCGGCCGATTGCAACAACACTTTCAAAACCCTCGCGTTCATTTTACACCTACCGGGAAAATTTCATGACCCTGACCCAAATGACCTTTGACTAATGACCTACTTTCCGAGACCATGTTTGGCCGGAATCGCGATTCGGCGTATGTCGGCTCGCATTAGCCGCGCGTTTGCAGTCTTTTCGTGGTTTCAAGCGCTCAGACATGTGATATGATGTTCCTCCCATGCATTAGATTGGTTGTTAAGGTCATCTGACGGTCAGGTCAAGTCATTGACCTTTTGTGACCTCGGTTCACTTTTTCATATTCCCAGGCTAGTTTTTGGAGCTGAATTCGAATTTAGCAACCATTTGAACATTTACAATGTAGTTTTGGTGCCTTTGTAAATTATTATGAAGCTGTCAGAAGCGGTTGACACCTACTACGAAAACCCGGCGGGACCACTACTGGTTGGCCTGACCTGACCTGACCCGACCTGGCCTAAATGCATGAAGACATCGTCTGTGATCAAAACTGCCATGACATTCCTGATCAGCACACCGAAAATCCTCATAGCAGCCGCACTAAACGACTTTCCAACAGGTCCCGATTTTCCCGACTTTTGGGTCATTGACCTGACCTGGAAGGTCAACCAATGAACTGAACCTTAAAATTGGGTGTCATCGGCCTCCTCTCGTCACGGGCAACACGCTCGTTTTTTCCGCAAAGCTCTAGCTCGATCAGGGGCGAAACGGCAAGGGTCCGCCACCAATACGGGCGAGGGCTAAAACGATCTTAAGTGGAACGTTTATTTATCCCGGAAATCATAGTGTTTATTCCACGTTTTTGAGCAAGGCATTGGCAAGCTGCCGGGAAACGTTACATTGTAAGAGCAATGGAATGTTTGCCAATATATTTTTCACCGAGTAACAGCATGTGTACTGTCTCCATGAAAGAATATCCGTCGTCATATGGCGTAGGTCAGTGTTACCTATTTTAATGCAGCTGTCTGCTGGTCTGAAAATATCACCCCGGAGAGCAGCGGAGAGCCAAGATCGAGGCGTCCTTCTTCGACCACTCTCTCATGCTCTTGGCGGCTGCTCTGGCTCGCGCCGTCCGAACTGACGCTGACCGAGGAGACTTCTCTCTCCCCTCTCTCCCCCCCCGCCCTCTCTCTCTCTCTCTCTCCGGCCGTTCCTCGTTCTGCGCGGATTGCGTTAGCTGGGACTGGGGCTGGCCGGCGGTCCTCGCCGTGCGCCCGACTGCCAACGTCGGCGGCCAACAATTCGAGTTATTCAGCACGCTGAGGTGACGGTAGCGGACGGTGGCCGGTCGCCGACCACTATATATAGTGCCGCTGGTCAGGCGACGACCCAGCTGTCAGACATGGCATCGGTGTCACCCGGACCCCTGTCCTGCCGGCACCGCCGCCGCACCAACGGCACCAAACCGCTGCCGAACCACCGACTCCACCACTCAGCGGAGGTGGTGGCGGCGGTAGTAGGAGAGTCCCGGTTTCTACAAAAGATGCTTGGTAGGCAAAACTGCAACCCCTTTTCCCCAACAGGGAAGTGTTGTAACAAGCTGCATTATGTTCTATTATGCAGTGTTTATTTGGCAGTTGATGGGCGGGTAGCTCTACCACTAATGATATTTATTCTCAGCGGCGCCGGAGGAATATTTTTCGATGCCATGAGACATTTGTGACACGGGAACTTGAGCGATGCATAAGTCACAATAATTATTGTGACTTATGCATTCTATTACATTATTGCAATGTAATAGAACGATTCATATATGTGCGCTCATTTTTGTTCAGCCGTCAAGAGGTTCAGATCATAAAAAGCGAGCGTCATTATCCAGAGACTAGAGAGGCGATTGCCCCTCCCTCTCCCGCCTTGGGACCGACAAATACCAATCATGTTCGATGTTCGTGCCATTGACGCAGTCAGTCGAGCGGCGATATGAGTAGAATGGTAGCGCGCGCAGGTAAATTACATCAAGCAATTATGCCTTCCGCCGAAAATGGACATGGATATAATCACTGATCTCCTTTGCCAATCTCATGGCAATTACTTATCCTAGCTGTTTGAGTCCTGCCGCCCAAACCAATCAATGCAATGAACGACCTCTCCAACCGCCTGTCGATCGGCGGCTGTTCACTGCCTGCGTGGGTAGACTGTCCCGCGCGGCAGCCGTGCGCTGCGGGTCAGCCTACCACTCCAGTGGCGCCGCGGCGTGGAAGCCCTGGAATCCGTCGTGACAACCATAGTGCCTCCTGGGCCTCGTTTCATAAAGCGAGTCCGTAACTTACGCCGGTTTTTGGTCTATTATTGCAAGTGCATGTAAAGCGATAAATTTATTTCCCCTTCTCCCTTCTGTTCTTGCTCGCAAGATAAATAAATTCAACGATTCAAACTAACATCATCGCTTTGCATGCACTTGCAATACAAGACCAAAAACCGCCGTAACTCGTAAGTTACGGACTCGCTTTATGAAACGAGGCCCGGATGCTGCAGTTTCTCAGTTTTGGGTGGTGACAACAAACTGGGCACACCAAACCGTAGACAGGTCTAGGGCTAATTGTTTGTCATTGCCGGGTCGCATTAAATCACCAATTTATTGAATCTGGTTGGAATAAAACAGTTACTACCTGTAAGAGATAATTTTTTGCGACCTATGGTCATTGAATAATAAATTGACGTCAAGCATAAAAAACATTTAAGCATATAGAATCCTGACACTTGCACGCACCACCAAGGAACTTCATATTTGAAAGAAGAAAATTTAAGAGGAGATCTCGCTGCAATGGGTGGGCTTATTGAGTGTTGATGACTTCAAGATAATAAGCAGCTGAATCATGAATGTCTGATTTTTTACCTCACCTTTGTTAATCTTCCTGAAATATACGGAGACACTTACAAATTATTAATCGTGACATCAATGACAACAAATGCTGTTAAGGAAATTATGGCTTATCAAAGGAATAAGTAATCGATCCGTGATGTCATTTGTTTATTGCGCCAGCGTCAGTCACCACTCACCTCATTTGCTTGAGGTATAAGCGGAAATGAAGTGCATGATAGGCACAGTGCCACGCTAGTGTCTTGAGGGTTAACTTTAATATGTTTGGGTTGGCTGGGCGCTGAATAGAGGACTATTTTTGTTGTGTCATTTGGCCTTGTTCGTAAGAGCCCTCATCATCCTTTATCAACTTCAACAGCTTTAATTTGTCCCTCGAGTCGGTGACGTCTAAGTGACGGTTACGTTACTGCCAGCTACACACAACTTGGGACCGGGAAGACGGCCAATGGGGGACATGCGTGACGAATAAGCCGTTTACAAGTTGGCTCAAGTTAGAGCTACGTAATTGAATTTCCTGTGCTGGTGGAACTCCAAGCAATCCAATGCCTATCAACTCCACTTTTTAAATGCCAATGATATTTATGATAATTCTGAAAATTAATGCTCTCCAATGCCATATCCTAGTACATAGCTTCAAAGTGACGACGGTTAACGACTTCCTGGCCGAGT